TGCAGGTGATCGGGTCTTGTCCTGGGTGTTGGGAGGCCCCAGAGGGGGGCTGAGTCCTGCCACCAGGGGTTGGGAGGCTCTGGGTGAGGTGAGTCTTGAACCCCCGAGCCTGCCCTGCACTCACCCCGCAGAAGCGGCTCCTGGGGTCCTGTGCGGTGCGGCTGGGCCTGGTTCTTGATTCAGGGTGTTGTGGCCTGGCACACGGGATCCCAGCCTGAGTTCCACAGAACAGGAGCTGCCACTGCAGAGTGAGTTTTTAGCTTTATTTCATATTATTTCACATTTGCAAAAAACATGGGGCTCTCTATATAGGTACCTACAGGGGGAGCAGCAATCTGATAAGAGGCTTTTCCATCTAGCAGACAAAGGTCTAACAAGAACCAGTGGCTGGAAATTGAAGCTAGACAAATTTAGACTGGAAATAAGGTGCAAATTTCTAACAACAAAAGGAATTACCCATTGGAACAACGGCCCAAGGGCTGCGGTGGATTCTCCAGCCCTGGAGATTTTTAAATCAAGAGTGCATTTTTTCTAACAGTCAGATACCAGCCAGGGGATAACCCTACTGCCAGGGCCCTAGATTGCCTTAATCCAGCCCTGCAGGCCTCATCATTAGCAGCTACAGCACGGCTGACATGAAGTATTTTCATTAATAACCTTTTGTCATGTGCCACAGAGCTGGTTTTAGAACTGGGGCCTCCTGCCTCTTTGCCCCTTCCCCAAGCCAGGGAGCCATCCCAGTCAATGGCACCAATACTTCCTTGCACCAGGTTTAACTCCTACTCTGAATACACTTGCCTCAGTATCCTGGGTTTCCCTCACCTGTTCTCTTGGTTCTTTTTGGCTCAGGTTTGGCCGCAGGTCTCTCTTGATCTGGTGCTACTTGCAGATGGCTGTCACGGGCACCAGCACTGCCTTCTCACCCAGCTTCACTGCCTACTGCATCTTCCGTTTCCTGACCGGAATGGCCTTCTCGGGCATCGTGATGAACAGTGTCTCTCTGTGTAAGTGTGTCTGTCGCCTGCCAACCCAGACACAAGATGAGCTGTTTACTGGGGATGGACGGAGGTGCCTTGTTCCCGCTGCTGATAAATTACTCTGTGGTGGGAGCACAGAGAGACCAGAAGCACACACCCATGGGTGGGATGTCCAAGGACTCAGCACCAAAAATCGGGAGCTAGATTTTCCAAAAGTCCTAGGTCCCATTCCAACCTGGATTTACTAAAGCACTCAGGAGCTCCCTTTGGGACACTGATTGCCACAGCTGAGAAAGACCTGAGTACGTTATTTAGGAGGTATTTTGCACCTTGAAATCTGGGCCTACCCTCTTCTGAGAATGTGGTACCTAAACGAGAACTGAGTTCTCTGGAACAATCGCACCTCCGTGTGCTTCTGCAGTGCCAGAGCACAGGAGGTGCCACAAAACAGGGCAGCTTCCAATAGCATGCAGGTCCCCAAGAATGGAATGGAAGCTATTTAGAGTGGAGTGCTGTCATCAGATGACGATGATTCACAACAGAACAGAGATTCCACAATACATCTTCTACAGAAGATGCACAGGCCATGTGCATCAGCCAGGAGTTACAGAATGCCCTCCTCATTACTAGAAAGTCCCTTACACTGTACAGGTCCTCTAGGAACTGTAGAGCAGTGTATCCAGCTGCCCCTGGGTCCTCTAGGAACTAGAGGACCCAGGGGCAGCTGGATACACTGCTCTACAGCCAAAATGCTTGTGAAATAAATGTAGTCAAACTTTACTAATTCTGGGTCATTGAGAGAGAAAATGATGCTTAAAATTGTTGATTGGCTCTAGTTTTCAAGATATGCTATTGGATCAGTATATAAGACCCTTGACTTGGGAATGGCGGAGGATAAGTGAGTTATAAAGGGAAGGGATCTCAGTTTAAACCAGAAATGACTAAAATACATCTTTGACTGGATCTATGAATAAATCTATGACTGGG